AGAGGATTTTCCTTTAATACAGGAGGGTTGAAATCCTTGACTGGAGTCCTTGCCAGGCTCTCTGCAGCTTCTAGGGTGAAAGCAAACCCTATGGCATGGCCATTGTCCTTCCAGCCCATGCCCCCCATTTCACTCCCATGCCCAGCATGGTGCTCCCCGCTCCAAGCCGTGACTTTCCGGAGACCTTGAAAGCTGTATTGCCTTAACCTCTGTCTGGGGTTCCGTTCCTGCTGATGCCCCTGCCCACTCTCCCTCTTTCTGTCATCGGTGGTCCCTGAAGATTCCCATTTTCCTGGGCCACCCTCACAGCCAAGGCTCTACCCTCCCCTACCACCTGTGGCTGTGGGCTCCTTGAGGTCAGGGACCCCCCCCCCACTGTTGGTCTTTATGGCCTGGTACCTAGTGCAGTACCTGGCTCATCAAAGCTCAAAAAAACTGTTATATGAAGGAAGAAACGACAGAACAGCCTCTTTTGTACATTGTGAGCCCAAAGTAGTACGACCAGTCCCTTTCCCCAGAACAGCCTTTCTGCTGCTTAGAAACAGCTAACTTATCCTCTCCCATCCCCTCCATCTCTCCTAGAGGAACAGGTTTCCCACCCAGGTCTGTCCCAGTTCCCAGGCCCCTCCTCCTCCTGCCCAGAACTCAATGTAGTCACCAAGGGTCCCCAAACCATCTTGCCACTCAGCTTCCCCAGAAAGGTCAGGGAAACGAGAGGGTCACACCCTGGAGGACAAGACAGTGATGGCTGCGACGTTCACCTGCTGGGGTGAAAGGTGATAGTGGAGGGTACAGGCGCCAGGCCCAGCAAAGCTGCGGAACAGGCATCCTGTCTCCTGAGGCAGCGTGGCAACCTGTCCCCCAGGTGGTGCTCAGGCTGGAGGCGTCAGGTGGCTCCAGGTCCCACTGCGGGCTCCAGCACATCTCCCCTGCTGTCGAGCATGTTACCCACCCCTCACAGTCCCTGCCTCAGAGACCTCATCTGTACGAGGGGAGACACCGAGGGGCAGGCGTGGCAGCCAGGGAGGGCGCATGTCAGAGCACTTTGCAGCCCCTCGCTGGTGGCTGTTGTTACTGTCAAAGAACACTCTTGGGCAATGTCTTCTGTTTTGTTTGATAACAATTGAGCCTGTCCAAGCCATGGCACCCAGAGTCCTCCACACAGCTCTGTGGGGCCGGTGAGTGTCCTGGGAAAGGAATTCCTTCACAGGCGTGCGTTCAAACATGGGAAGTGTAGGATTCCCCCGTGAGCGCTAAAGGAGCGGACAGTCGCTCACTTTCACATTCTCCAGGACGGTGTGGCCACGTCTCGGAACTCTGCATCAGGACTGGAAACAAGACTGTGGGCCTCAAAGTCATCGCAGTTAGGAGGAGTCCTGTGTGCTGAGTCAGTCTGCGTAGCTTACTTGGTTAAAAGCAAACAGGGCAAAGGAATGTTGAAATACTTGACCCCTACTTCTGCAATTCCCATTAGAAAACACCGGACTGAGAAAGTAGAGGCACCCGGTGGAAACTATGGCAAACCCAGCCCTTGCCAAATGGACAGAGGAGAGGGGTGATCGCCGCAGTGGCAAACACAGTCTGGCTGAGACGGGACAACTGTTTATGTGAAAATTGGTTTTCCATTAGTTTCAGTTCTAAGACTAAGTGTTTCAGAGGCTCTGAAGGGGATGAGATTCATTATTACAGATTATCTTTTTTCTAAGCTGAAAACATTTTATGTTGTATAGCATCTTGTGTTCAAATGTATGTTGGGGGCTGGAAGTAGAGAAGCTTTTGACTTGACTCAAAGTTGCTTTACTGAAGGATGGTTCCTGGGGCCCCCCTCATTCCATTAGCTCCATCCTGCCTGCAGCACCGGGTCCCGTGCAAAGAAGTTGGGGCTGACACAGGGGAGCTGAGAGAGTGGAAGACTAGGAGTTGGAAGAGATTAGGTGGTGCAGAGAACGGACTTTGGGCTGGTCAGATGTTGGGGTGCAATGAGAGTAGATCTAAGTCTCTGGCGTGGGTGGGGGTCATGTGGGGAATCTGCAGGATAAGCGATGGTGGGAAGGGCAGTTTAGCCACGTTGGGTTCTGAGGCTTCCAGACAGGCACCAGGTAAGAGTCAGAAACAGGAAGATGCAGCCTGGAGCACCAAGCAGATTGGGGCATCACCAGCAGAGGATGAGAGCAGCCCTCCGGCTGCCCTGGGAGGGCGTGGAGAACCCAGACAGTATCCTGAGAGACTCCCCTCCAGGCCACGCTGTGGGTGTGAGTACCTAAGCGGTCACACAGCAGGAATCTCTGCCTCCAGGCACAGCTCCTGACCTTGGCTGTGCCTCAGCATCACTTGGGAGCTTCAAGCCCTGCTGAGGCCTCGGCGGTTTGCTGCAGTCCCTGGGACCCCACGCCTGCACCCCAGCCCTCGATGGAACCTCCAGAGCTGGGACCCTGACATCAACACTAGTTATCAGAGCTCCTAATGAGAACCACTGCACTGTCTTTGTCTGGGTAGACCAACGCCCCCGTATCACTCACCAGCTGCCATCCCACACATGGCATCTCTTGTCTCCAAATTCCAGACACGTGTGAGTGCCAAGATAACTGGTCTGTTGCCCTCTGACTGGGCTGCAGTTTCTCATGGTTTCACAGCTGCAGGTGACCTACCAGGCCCTCTTCTTGTCCTGGCCACCCTAGCAGAGGGCTCAGGGCCAGCCAGGTCAGTACAACCAGCTCCATGAACAAAGCAGAGCTCCACCTCCCAAGGCCTCCAGCAGGCCCTGCATGTCCTCTGGAATTTCTCTGGTGCCTGGACTTCCTGCTGGACAGTGACAGAACTCAAGACCCTTCCACCTGTGTTTTACACCCAGGCTTTGTAGACTCATAGAAGGTGAGGCTGGAGAACCACTTAGTTATCAAATAAAATCCTCAAAGACGAAGAGAAACGGCAAGGAGCGGGAGACCCCTTCACCCTGCAGAAGCTCAGGGGCCTCATCAGAGGAAGCTCAGGGGCCTCATCGGAGGAAGCTCAGGGGCCAGCGGCCTGGCTGAGTGCTCATCTGTCATCAGCTCGTGGTGTCTGCAGCTGTTATCATTAATAATCTATGTGTTGATGTGCAATTTCATGCCCTCTGCTAAGCCAGTGAGGACACGAGAGGGGCAGGGCCCTCCTGCCTGAGCAGGGAGGGCTGGGAAATGCACCTCCGCCAGGGGGGCTGAAACAGGCTGTGTCTTTCCTAGAAATCCCAAGACTTGTGCTTGAGAAGACAAGGCCGTCGTGTGCAGGGCAGGGGCAAGCCCAGCAAGAATTGTTGGAATCGTTACTGACGCAGCCCGATCGAGTTTGTGTTGTTGCCTCTAGTGATTGAAAGCCAGGAGAGAGTCAGTATCTGTTCTGACTCTGATGCCAAAAAATAAACTCCCAACGACAAGGCCAACACAAGGCACCCCAAATACAAGCCACCGGGAAACTCAGCAGGACCAGGGGCAGAAGGGCTGGTGCAGTGTCTGACGTAGGAGAGGTGATGCCTCAGGAGTGACTCGTCTCAACCAAGCCACTTACTTGTCCCTGAGGCCTGGGTCCCCCACCGCTCAGCACAAGCGCAGGACCCACCCTCACCGTCCTGGCTGTGGGGAAGGGCGGACACAGAACCCATGTGTGGCCCCTGCTTCCAGCACAGACTCCATAGCATCAGCCTGGCCTTGAGTCCTGCTTCTGCCACTTTGCAGCTGTGTGATCCAGGCCATCACTTAATGCCTTCAAGCCTAAGTTTCCCCATCTGTAAACAGGGGTGATGGTAATGGGCTGAGATGAGGGTACACAAGTTATCACACTCAGGCTTTGGGGAGGAGGTGCTGGGTGCGTGTGCGCCAGCCTTGGCCATATGTGATGCTGGGTACCACGCCTGTAGCAATGCCTGGCACAGACCCGCCCGCCTGCTAACTGCTGTTGTCACTCCACATGCCCAGGGTTAAAATTTGGGATTTTGAATTCTTAAACTCTGTGGCTCTGTGTCTAAAAGTAGCACCTACCAAACAGTGCTCAGCTGGTACCGTTTCCTCTCGGAACGTGCTTGTGTAGGGACCGTGTGTGCAGCCAGCCCAGGTGTTGGTCCAGCAGAAGGATCCAGTTCAATCAGTGTCCACTACTGTCTTTGAAGGTGCATCATCTGCTTTATAGCCCCGACTTGCTACTTTATACATCACAATGGGGAAACGGACGCAGCCGCAGTGTTCCTGGTGTTTCGGCCACCTTCACTGAATGGCTGTCTTGGTTCAAAATCATGACTGCTGCCATAATGATGTTTTAAGAAATATAAAAATAGGAGTACATAACACTGCATTTGGCTGTAGCTTTTATCTGTCAGAATTTCACACAAAGCACAAATTGTTGCAAAAATACCTGAACTTTGCTATCATGGGGGTGCTTTGAAGAGATTGTTAGGTGTGTTGCAATTATTCATGGGCCCATGGTAAGCCCCATCCCAGCACTGTGGCGAGGTCCTGCTCGCCCAGAGGGGCTCAGAGCCACATTGCCAGGGGAGCTGCAGCCACAAAGGCACAGAGAGGAACAAACAGCATCATGGGGCCCTTGTGCTGAAACTGATTCTCTCATAGTAAGCAAACTTGAATCAACCTAGGAGTGGCGAGGACACCATAATTAAAACTGGAATCTCAAATCCCCATTCATTTTCAGCAGAAAACTACAGGCTTCTTTCAAACCAGACTGATTGGAGTCTCAGAGTCCTAGAGTAAACTATTTGTTCTCAAGCTGTGCCCTGCCCATCAGGACAGACCTCGGAGCAGGCAGGGGACCAAGGTTAGGTCCATCTTGGCATTAGAGGGACCCGATCAGTTCTGAGCTGCAGGGTGCATCTGTGTCCACATGCAACAGAGGACAAGTGGCGGCACTGCCACCCCAGGGACCCACCCTGGGAGCCTCGGTCCTGCTGTTGGCTGGGGGATAGGTGCACACCCAAAAGGGACCTGTGTTTGCAACCAATGCCCTTTTCTCTGTAGGTGGCTCGAGAGCTCCAGCCCTCCGTGGTGTGGATCGGAGACACAGAAAAAACCTTTTACAAAAAAGTTCCCAACGCGGAAAAGATGGTGAGGGCTTCTCCATCATCCCTTCCTCTCGCCGTGCTTCCCCCAAGCGGGAGGACCTCGCCAGGGAGGGAGGAAACATCAGGGCTTTTAAATCTCCTGTCTTAGCCTCTCTCTGCCCGAACTTTCATCTATATTTGAAGGGATCCAGTGGTCTGATTTTATGATGCATAATTCAGAAGACAATGACAGAAAGTGTGGAAGAAGGAGGGAGGGGGATTTTCTACCCAAACACGATTCAAGGGTGAGAAACAACTTAGAGAACTCTGCTCAGGTAAAGCGAACGGCACACATAGGAGCTATTATTAGGACTTCCTATTGTTTGTAATAATAAATAGCAAAGGCCTGCGGTTTGTGAACAAAGCTCATCAACACAACAGCTAAGCTGGGGCACCCGGCCTCAGGGACTCCCGCCGCAGGGCTTCCTTCCTTCCTTCGTTTCTCTCCTTTCAATGGCCCTCTCTCCCCCGCACTTCCCCCCACAAATCACCAGCAAATTTCCCACAAGTTAAAAAAAAAAAAATTGCAGATACACATGATTGTTATTCCACATCAATTTGCACCAAAGCAAATAGTGGTTAACTGTGAATTTCTGATTAAATTCATAAGGATTTTAATCACTTTTGATCCTTATGTATTATACATCATTCTTAGCAGGTAGAGATGATTTGGATAAAGAATGAAAGCTCAATCTTTTCTTCCCCAAATGAGCCTTGATTGCCCTGTCATTTCAGAAACTCGTGAAGACTCATTTGTTATTTAATCTGGGATCTAGCGGCTAGCTCCCTCTGCTGGCGCAGCCGCCTCATTGACAGAGAAGCAAAGATTGTGTGTGTGTGTGTGTGTGTGTGTGTGTGTGTGTCTGGGTGCAGAATGAGTGGCTGGAGGTATAGGACTTTAAACCACGGTGTGAACCCAAAGATAAAAGCAGAGTGGTGTTTAATCCCTGGTGTCACATACCTGAAGTCATCGAAGTTTGGCTCCTCGGTGGGCAGGGCTACTCCCTCTCCCACTGGACACCAGCCTTGGGTTGTAGGAAGACCCTGGCCTGGGACTCCCACCTGAGTAATGACACAACCTCTCTCAGCCGCCACTTCCTCAACCATCAAACTAGAAATTTCCAGCTGGAACAGCCTCTGAGTGATGAAGCCTCCTGGAGTTCTCTCCTGTGACACCCTCAGACTGTTGGTTTGCTGGCAATCACAGCCCTCTACTAACCTGTGCCCTGAGTCCCTAGGAAACAGGAGGAATGGGGCCATTCACCTGTAATGTTCCGGGGAACTCTGGGGACAGTCCAAAGGGGCCAGAGAGAGCCGGTGGAATAAAACAGGGGCTCAGGGCTTTCAAATGTCCTTCAATGAAGGGCCAGGAGACCAGCCAAGGAGGAAGATGAAAGCAGGGACGGGAGCCATATCACCAGAACCCCCCAAATCAGCCCTTTTGTTTCCAATGCAGAGATGTTCTCTCAGCACCATCCTAGATGCCCACCAGCACTGCCCATGATTAGCCTTGTCCCCAAAGGAATTCAGGCCATGGAGGCACAGCTGGCCCCTTCCTCTGTTCACTTCTGTGTTAGCAGGCTCCAGCACCTGTCTGCAGGATTCCTATATTGAAGACCAGGAATCATGGGCAGAAGCCAGCTCCCTGGGTCCCTGAACACCCACAGGGGTCTGAGCCATCCCAGGCCCAAATAGAGCTACAAGAGGCATGAACACCCCTCCCAGAAACCGTGTCTCCATGCCAGCACCCAAGCAGGAGGAGAGGGGAGTGGTTGGGAACCATCACATGTGCCTGGCTCATGCAGGAACTCAGACCCACTGTACTGCACCATATGCTGATGGTGTCACTGGGCCTGCCCCTCAGAGCAAGGGACCTAGAGTTCCTTCTGCCTTCCTGGGTCTCCTGGGGATGAGCCAGCTCTATGCTCCTCCCCAGCGTCCCAGACTTCTGAGTCCACAGGGCCCTGGGGATCACAACCAGTGGGCATCCATGTTTCAAAGGTGATGATCAAAAACCCAGGGCTGCAGCCTATGAGCAGGTGTGAGGGACCTGGACAGCACTGTAACTGGCCTCATGATCGGCCCTCCTGGCACCATAACCAGCCCTCACTGCATCACTCAGCCCCTGGGGGCCTAGTGTCCTTTCTCTCACCTGCCCTGGCCTCCCAGGGCTCCCCATCCCAAAGGTGCTGAGGCACTAAGGAGAATGTCCCCCTGCACAAACGCCGGGAGGCTAGAGTGTTCCTCCAGCTGCAGCCACAGAATGAGACAGCAGGCCGCTCTGGGCCTGGAGGCCACCTGCTGGGCTTGAAGGACCCGAGGAAGGCCCCATGAAAATCAACAGTGACTGAGTCAAGCCTCCAACACCTCTGCCTTGGGCTAAGGCCTCCTCCGGTGGTGAAATACAGGAAGCTCACCCAGTCATAGCAAGGAGGCAACAGAGACCAGGCCAGCTGTGGCAGCTCTTGAGCATGGAGCCTACATCAGGAGGCTGTTTCTTGAGTGCAGGGACTCGAGGCCCAGACCCCAGGACCCTGGTGGGGTGGGGAGGTATTGATCCAACACCGTCTCCTTTCCAGGAACAATGCATATGTCAGGAAATTCCCAGCAGCCCTGGGAGGAAGGCATTGTTTTTCTGTCTCACAGAGGAAGACAAAGCCTTCTAGAGTGCCCGTGCACAGCTCGGGGGTCCTGCCAGGACTCAGAGGCAGGTCTGCATGGATACAGAAGCCGGGCCCCTTTTCCCACCTGGACGCCATGCCAAAGCTGGGAGGTTTCACCTTCTGAGCACAGGTCAGCCCTCCTCAACCCCAGGGTAACCCTAAACCTCATCCTGAAAACTGCCCCAGGGCACTCACTCTGGTCCTAGAACCTCACACGCACCACCCCAGACCCTCCATGCTCCTGTCCTCACTCTCATCCCTTGTCATTGTCCTCAACAACCTTGAGAAGCACCTCTCCCTGCAGAATTTCAGTGCAGTCCAAACTCCGAGTACCACCCACCTTGCCACTCTTACAAACACACCCTGCCCCTGGTAGCTGCCCAGACAGCGCCCTGCCCCTCCTCCTCCCCGGAGCAAGTGGTCATCCTCTCCCATCTGCAGCAGAATGCAGTCGGTGGGCTGTTTGCATGTGAGCAAAGGCATTGAAGAATGAGGCAAAGCAGCCTGCTCCTGCATTTTCTGCTCCATTACCCTTTGTTACTTCATCAAGCACGAGCCTTCCCTGACATCACAATGGTGCCTCCACAAGGGAATGACTTGCTTTGTCCGGGCTGGCTGTGGCAGTTGTTTTGTGGAGCTAACTGCACAAAAGCAAATTGAAATTGCTGCGCGGATGCTACCCACTAATTTGAAACTGCCCATAGTAATACAGTTGTGAGAAGCAGGCAGGCCCAGCGGTAAGGAAGGCAGTTGTGGAGGTTGCTGGATGATCATGGGGATGTTTTCTGGCATGGGCAAAGAGTGTCCAGGTTCCCTGCATAATGGACAGCTCTGAAGTGGGCCAGGAGTGGCCTGAGTGTAGGGCAGCCACCTACTGGATGAACACACCTCTTATCCAATCCCCTACTAGTGGGACTGCACCTCACTATCAGCCACCCAGGATCAATATTTGTTATCCAAATAGACTAATTAATTCCAAATGTCCCTGTCATTTCAGAACATGCAGGTAGCAGGACCATCGCCTGCCTTAGAGAGGGCAGGGACTATGCTGCCATCACCATGGCAACTTGATTGCTAAGGATGGACTCAGACTATGCAGGCATATCTCTACCCCATAGAGTCTTTGTCTCTGTTCTTACCAGAACCCTCAATTCAGTCCTTCCACTAGTCTTTGGGCATCCCTCATGTTTCCCCACATGTCCCAGTCACCCCCACCACCTGCCTTGTTCTACATCAAGCTTCTTAAATGACCAGTCACTCCTCACCATCTCCACTCACTCCTCAGTACCACCATCAGCTTGCTGTCCTCAACACTCCACAGAAATTATTCTAATAAAGTTCTTCTTCGACACAAAAGATGTGCAATACTTCTCTGAAAACTAAAAAGAATTAGTTTTAAAGAAGGCCTAAAAAATGGAAGGACATTTTATATTCCTGGGTTGAATGACTTAATATTGTTAACATAAATCAAAATATTGATTTATGGACTCAATGCAATTTCCATCAAAATTCCACCTGGCTTATTTGCAGAAATTAGTAAGCTGATCCTGAAGTTCATGGAGAAATTCAAGGGACCTAGCCAAGACAGTCTTCACAAGAAAAGTCAAAGTTGGAAGACTCAGATTTCCCAATTTTACTTCCCAACTTACTATAGAGCTACAGCAATCAAGACAGTGGGGTACTGGCATGAATAGAGAAATACAGATCAGCAGAATAGAATTGAAAGCCCAGAAATAAACTATGACATTTGTAGTCAATTTTGACAAAGGTGTCATGATAATTCAATGCAAAAAAAGTAGTCTTTTCAAGAAATGGTGCTGGAACAACTAGATAGCCACCCGCAAAAGAATGAGATTGGATCCCTGCCTCACACCATATACAAAACTCAACCCATAATACATCAAAGACCTAAAAGTAAGAGCTAAAATGATAAAACTCTTAAAATAAAATCTTGGCATAAATCTTTGTGACCCTGGATTATGCAATGATTTCTTAGATATGACACCAAAATCCCAAGCAAAGAAAAACTAAATTTGCACCCCACCAAAATTAGAAACATTTTTGCTCAAAGGACACCATCAAGGAAGTGAAAAGACAACCCCCAGAAAAGAAGAAAATATTTGCAAACCATGTGCTGATAAGGGATTTGTATCTAGAACATATAAAGTACTCTGATAACTCAATAATAAAAAAGACAAATAACCCAACTTTCAAAATGGGCCAACAAGCTGAATGTGCATTCTTCCAAAGATGACATAGGAATGACTAATAAGCACATGAAAAGATGAAGAACCTTATTAGCTACCAGCCAAATGGTGACAAAAATGGCCAAGATTGTGCTGGGGCGTGTCCATGGAGGCTCCCACCAGCACCCCGGTCCCCCTCTTCCCACACTTCCTCCTTTCTTGTCTGTGCCAGTTGAGGGTAATTTAAAGCTAGGCTATTGCTTTCCTTCATCAGTGCTGAGATTATACTAAAGTCATACGGGTTCAGACCATTTCCAAACTGCTCCAGGGGGAGACGTTTTATAACGTTATGTAACCAGTTATGTGTCAGACATGAGATGCAGAGAGCTCAGTTCCTTATTTTTATAGCAGTTCAGCAAAGGAAATCTTGGGTTCACCTTCCAAACAACTCAGGAAAACAGGAGCACCACAAACTAATTACAAGTTGCAGTGAGCTTCCTTCTCCTTGGAAGTTAGCCACTATTTCCCATTCTTAGGGTGAAGGTGCTCGAATGTCCAGCCAGGTGCTTCCTTCCTTCCTGCTTTCCAAATCTGGACCCCAGAGGTTGAGGAAAGGAAATGCCAACAATTAAAAATGACCCAGTCAAACTAGGAAGCACATTTCAAGACTCGTCCTACGGCAAACTTTTAAGAAATTGTCTTTTTCTGAGCTTTGAAATCACTCTAACCCATGTATGCTGGGTGCATTCTGTTTCTGAACATGGGTTTTCTTTAGTTTGTCAATCTTTTTCCTATATGTGGGCCAATTTTGTTCCTCTCTTTTTTCTCCCAGAATGACCCTAAACGCCTGAAAAGACAGCTTCCCAAAATCCTGAAGCTCCTGAAGCCAGATGATAGGATTCTGATTGTGGGGACCACCAAGCGTCCTTTTGATGCTGAAATCCAATCTTTTTGCCGAGTTTACCAAAAAATCATTTTGGTTCCCAGACCAGACTACGCCTCCAGATACGGCAAGTACCCCAGCCCCTTCCCACATGTGATAACTGAGCATGAGTCATCTGTTGTTTTGTTGGTTGCAGGTATGTGAGGCCAGGGTGCCCCTTGTGACCCAGGAGGCATCAGATGAGTGATGTGGGCAGGTGCACCATGTGCCATCAGTGTGAACTGCTGGGCCATAGGAGGGAAGCCATAGGTCTTTGTTCTGTTGTTAACATATTTCTCTTTGCCCAAGACAAAAGGAAACTGGATGGGGTCCATTATTTTTGGCCCTAGTGGTGACAAAAGCCCTGTGGGTGCTAATTTTTCTCTTGTCAGGTAGTTGAGAATCACTCATCTTGTGCCCAGGGTGACAGGGTCTTTCCCATGCTCATGGCTTCTTGTTACCAAGCTGTTCCCCACCCCCCATCTCAAAGTCCAGTTGCATGTTGACTTACTTAAAATAAATATTAAATACAAGTGCATACTTTTTTAATTCTTTCTTCTTGAATAGCCAGATTTAAGCTTTTGAAGCTTATTTTTAAATGGGAACAATACAAAAAAGTGCTTCCAAGGCAGTGCAATGGAATTGGAAAGAGCCGCGAGAGACTGGGGCTCTCAAGAGACCTGCTCCAAGTCCCGGCTCTGCCCCTTAATAGCTGCTGACCTTGACAAGTCAGTCGACCTGAGCCCTGAGTTCTCACCTGGGAAGCAGAACTATCCGTACTGTATGCCACAGGGCTGCTGTGACCCAGAGTGTCCAGAGCCATGGTTGCCCCAGAGGGAAGGGGTGTTGTTGCAGAGGCGGGGGCAGGAGGCGAGTGGGGGTGGGAAGAGGAGGAGGAAGGGAAATGACAGGGGCGATTGGCGCAGGGAGCTAGTTATGGTGCTGGTGGCTGTTCCTGTCTCCTATTCCTGTCGCCTATTCCCTGGTGGTTCAAAACAGCAAAGTACCCCTGTGGCAACTCAGGGCTGACGGGTCAGCTGGGGCATTCTTCTCCAGGTGTCCAGGCACAGCATGATGTTGGAGCCACATGTGAGTTGGGGCCCCAGTGCTCTGGAGACTGGACAGTGTGCACACCCCTGACAGCTCACTTGTGTGACTGGAGCTAGTGGGGTCTGTGGGGGGCAGCTGAGGTTGGTGACCAGATAGCCCACACCTGGTCATTCCAGGTGGCTTTGCACACATGGTGGCAAGTCCCACAAGACAATGTCTCATAAGTGCACTTTTCCAGAGGTTAGGCCAATAGCTGACCCAGCCTCACAAGTCACGGAGATTCCATCACCACACCCTACTGGCCAGGTAGAAACCAAAGGGCCAGCCCCAATCTAAGAGCAGTGGGGGACACGCGGGTGTGGACGCTGTGGCAGTGGCCCCAGAAGGGCATCTTTAGCACCGCATTGGTGGGCAGTGGTGAGAGATTTGGTGTTGGAATGGCAATGGCCAATGTTAGAGATGGTGGAGGTGGGGACAGCGTTTGCTAGATGACAATCTGGTAGAGGTGACAGTGGCAGTTGTGGCAGAATATGGTGACCCCTGGGAGGTGGCAGATGTGGCCTGTGGTGGTGGTGTGCATAGTGGTGCCAGGGAGGCTGGTGCCAATGGTAGGCAGTGTTCACATAGCAATAGCAAAGTTGCTGCTGGGCCCACTGGCAGTTGGAGCTGCTGGTGGCAGCAACTAAGCAGCATTAAGGATAGCCATGCAATGTTCAGCATTAAGGACAGCCATGCAATGTTCAGCATTAAGGACAGCCATGCAATG